TTCCCTTTGGATGTTTTTCTGTTTTTTGATGTACACAAAAACACTAAGGAATATATAATCATTTAAACAACCCAAGAGCACATTCTACAAGCCTGACTCCTCACCATTAGCACACATCCTTTCTCTTCCCATGAGTCTAGAGTCCTCAGCTGCTCTATCTTTCCATGTCATCATCTCTGCCTCCATTTCTGGTGTTGCTGCTTCTCTGGATAGGGTCCCGCATTCCACTCATGCTCTTCTCCCTTGATGGTCCTAGGGTCCTCTCTTCTGGGAATGTAAGAACATTATTCCCTGCTGTATGTTATAAAACTTCTACCTTTACAGTTGTGATAATTGCAATTACTCATGATAAACAATTACTCACTCCTGAATCATAAGAATCTTATCCCCATCTCCTTTCACTAGACCCGTCTACACAAGATGAAAGCTATTCATCAGGGATTCTACCTTCCCCTGCACAATCTGAAGCTATCCCTCTTGAAAACTTTTAAGCCAGCCACTTCATGCCTTTATCGTGCCCCCCCTCCCCCCATTTTAGGTACCCAATGTATAAGATGCCCATCCCTATCAACCCTGTGTACAGAGGGAATATGTTTGATCCTTGATGTGGAGACTTCTTCCATCTCAGTTGGTATTTTGAGACATATATTAAAGGAGCTCTGGTAGCGTAGTGGTTACAATTCGGGCTGTGACCTGCAAGGTTGTTGTTGTTGTTGTTAAGTGCCATCGAGTCGGTTCTGACCCATAGCAACCCTGTACAGGGTTTCCGAGGCTGTAAATCTTTACGGGAGCAGAAAGTTTCATCTTTCTCCTGCAGAGTGGCTGGTAGTTTCAAACTGCTGACCTTACGGTTCATAGCCCAATTCTGTGTGAGAAAGATGAGGCTTTCTGCTCCCATAAAGATTTACAGCCTGTACAGGGTCACTATGAGTCAGAACCAACTCCACGGCACATAGCAACAACAATAACAACAACAACATAAGTAAAAGTCAAGTTCATCAAATTGTAGCAGTTTCCACTTGTTTCCTTTATCTTCCTCTATTTGAGTTCTGATCATCAAGCCATGAAAGCTAGGTCAAATGAGTACTATCTGCAAGTTTGGACATTCTTATGCATCTCCCCTTACTTCATATCAGCTGGAGGGCTCTAGCCCTCTGTCCCTTGTTCATGGACTTAGGAGTCCCCAGGTCTCACCACACTTTGGACCAACCATCCCTGTTGGGAGCAGCTGAGCCAAGGTTCCCAGACTTGGGGGTAGTTTAATTGAAGGACTGCAACTGAACAGTTGTGGTCAAGAAACTCAGGCTGCTTCCAAGTCAAAGTCCCTCCTTCCCTTCCTCCCCCCTTCCCCCCCCACCAGGAACTTGCAGGCTGCCTCAGGGGACAGGGAACTTGCAAGGTCTTTCCTTGTATTTAGTTGTGTCCTTCGGCTCAGCCTGCACAACATTCTAACCACCCTATCTCTGTTTCCCTAGCAACTACATTCTTCTGATAAAGCCCCGCTTACTGCATGCATCAAAATACCATATGTTATTATTTTCTCTGCCCCCAAGCACCTCCCTTTGAGCTGTGTATAAAATAAACTCACTGCCTAGGTCTGTGTCCCAGTATCTCCATCAGAGTACTGCATCCCACCTGGTCCCGACTATTCTATTTTTAAATGTGTCTTTCTTTTATTTCTCATATCCCATCACCCCCACTTGGGTTTAATTTCTCACTGCAGGTCACGGAGAAAAGCCAATTGTCAAACACAGCAGTTGGCCCCAGCAGTGTTGGCTCCACCAGTTGTGTTGGCTCCAGTACAGCCATCCTCTTCTCTCGCTCATCTCCAGGCCAACGGGAGTCTCTGGAATGTGGTTGAACTCAGCCCATATCTTCATTGCTGCCCTTCCCCTACTTCTACTCACCAGTAGACCAATGTGGTCACCAGCAAGCTTATATGCCTGCTCATGTGTTCCCTTTGAGTTTTATTCTCAAGGGGATTTGTCCTGAAGGCACTTGATTGCTTGGCTTGATGGCTCCCTGGCAAACTTGCTTGTTCTTGTAGTAGCCAATCTTTTATTTCTTTTTTTTTTTTTTTTTCAGCTCTTTATTATGAATTGAGTGAAGGTTTTACAGACAAGATGATCAGTCTAACAGTCAAATCACACCTTTTGTTTCATCTCAATGATTACAATCCGCTCCATGCAACAAATTATCCCACCTCCTCTCAGTGTTTCCTATTTCCATTCCATCCATCTTCTTACCCCTTCTCAACTTTGTCCTTAGGTAAATGTTGCCCTTTTGACTTTGAATAACTGACCATTCCATGGTGAGCATACTTTACTAGTGTTGTTGTCCCCCTATACACCTATCTGTTGCTTAGCTGAAAATTGGGCCATGAGAGTGAATTCTTTTCAAGATCTAAAGGGTGGTTGAGGGCCATAGTCTCAGCTTTCTCCAGTCTCTGACCAGTGAGCCTGGTCTTTTAAAAATATATATAATTTTTAGCTTTATTCTACATTTTCTGCCACTCTATCTGGGACCTTCTAAAGTGAACGCTTAACAGCAGTTGGTAGTAGCAGCCAGGCACCATCTAGTTCTTGTGGTCTGAGTCACGGAGACTGGTGATCACATGTTCCATTAACCCATTGGATGGATTGATTCCAAGCATATTCAAGTCTCATCACTCTTCTTTCTTCCTTCCACATATGGAGAGACAATTAGTTGTGCCTTAGATGGCCATCATGAGCTTTTAAGACCCCACATGCTATTCACCAAAGTAAGATGAGAACATTGTTTTTGTATACGATGTTATGCCAATTAATCATGGTGTCCCCTGAGACTATGGTGCTGAGTTTTCAGGCCCAGCAACTCATCACCTTAAGATGTTTGATAACATCTAAGAAGTTTTCATCACTTTGTCTTCTGTATGCTCCATTACATTCACAGATGTGTTTGCAGCAAAGTTGAATACCCATGTACCAATATCTTCTTTTAAACCCTTATATATTTGTGGGTATACTCCCACTATTCCTCCCATACCTGTTTAGCTTGTGCATCTGTCCACATATCTATCCTCAGAGAATTGTAGTTCCAAGGATGTATATATAGCACTTTATCCCTTGCATATCTCCTGGTGTCTTCATCTATCTTCATCATTCTTCTGCCAACTCTTCTTCTTGTATTTTGCTCTCCCCAGTTGGCTGTTGTTTAGTGCCATTAAGTCTGTTCTGACTCATAGTGACCCTGTGTAGGGTTTCCAAGGAGCAGCTGGTGGGTTTGAATCACCAATCTTGCAGTTCAAACTTACCTCACAGTCCAGTGTATTATCCTGCAGTGCCACACCAAGACTCTTTACTTTATGTTAGGTTGTGATCTATACTGTAGGCTGTATGTAGTTTTTTTTTTTTTTTTTAATGTTTTATTGTGAATGATGTGATAGTTTACATGGGAGAACATTAGCTTTACATTCATCCTTATCATATATCATTTCATTGCCATGGTTACAATCCCCTCCATGCATCAAAAACCAACCAAAGGGTATATCCTGCAAGACTGTCCCCCGGTTGTCAGCACACAGCCCCTCTCCCTCTTTGGGTCTAGAGTCCCCAGCCACTCGATCTCTCCACGTCATCATCTCTGCCTCCATCTCTGGGGTCACTGCTTCTCTGGGTAGGGTCCCATACTCCGTTCTTCTCCCTTGATGGTCCCAGGGACCTCTGCTCCTAGACTGCAAAGTCAATCACTCCCCACCTTTTGCTACACAACGTCTGTCTACCTTTACATTTCCAACCCTCACAATCAGTTCTGAAAACAATTATTCACTATTGTATCACAAGAGACCTATCTGCATCTCCTTTCATCAGCCCTGCCCAGACAGATTGGATACTACTCAGTGGAGAGTCTACCTTCCTCCATGCCCTCTGGATCTAGGTTCCCTCTTCAAAGTTTGTAAGCCAATCACTTCTTGCCTTTGTATCCTCCACCCCATTTAGGGTTTTCTTGGCTGTGATCTTTATTCAAGATTTTCTTCCACATAGCTATTGGGTGCGTTTGAACTGCCAACCTTTAAATTAGTTGTTAGGTACATCGAGTCAGTTTTCACCTACAGCGACTCTGTAATGGGTTTCCATACCCAAGTGAAGTAGGCTCTCAAGAATTAAAATTTAAATTGATTCTATTTTATGTTAATTACAGTGCCAATCCAGGATTGTATTCTCCTTTTAGACGTTATTTATGTTTGATAATGAATGAGCTAGTTCTTTTTAATAGTAAGCCATTCATTTACTCAGCTTCCACAGACCAAAAGTGAGATATGAAATAAGTACTGCGCAAGCCCTGCTCCTTTAAGCAATTTGGCACTTTTTTTTGTTCTAAAAAGTATTAGGTGTCCGACCGATGTTATCCTCACAACACATCCCTTGTGTTCTACTAACAATGGCCTCAAAGCATTTCCCATGTATTTGCATGGGTTGGGGCAGGGAGTCCAGACCGAGTATGCAAGAAACTGAAACTCTGGAAGCGGAACTTTACCCAGCATATCCTTCAGGGAGGATACGGCTGCAGAATGCGGAGTCATGGACAGGCCACTTCAGCCTCAGGCAGTTTGGTCTCCACGCCCGGCCTCGTTTTGTTGCCCAGGCGGGAGTCCAGCTTCCACGCGCCAGGGCCGACTCCAACTCGTTTCGCCGGCTCCGGCCCAGAACCCACCTCCACGCTCGGGCCCCGCCTCCACGCTCGACTCCGTATTCCCAGGCTCCGTCCCCGCCTTCACGTCCCAGCCGAGTCTCCGCCTCCCAGGCTCCGGCCCCGCCTCCAGGCTCCTGCTCGACTTCTCAGGCCCGAGTCTCCCCTCAGGCCCAAGCCTCTCCTCCATATTTTAGGCCCGCCTTCTCAAGAGGAGCCACACCTCTCCGTCCCGGACCAGTCTCTCGGGGGTGGAGCTATATCAGTTTGGGTGGGGGGAATTCGGAGCGTGGCCGGGGTCAAGGAGCACCAGGTGCGGTTTCTGAGTCAAGATGGCCGCTGCCAGCCGGGTTTGGACTTCACTGCTGCCCCGCAGCCCCTCCGGTCTTCCTGCCGGGGTCCCAGTGCTGCGTGCTGCCCTATGCCTACTCTGCGGGGCCCTGGCGGCTGTGGACGCCGTCCCCGAGCCTGGCCTCTGGGTAGCGACTGTCAACGACGTAAGTGGCTGTCATAACTCCGCCGGGACGCGTCTGGGGCCCTCGGGTCCTCCGGCGGCTCGCTGGGTTCTACACGTCCACCCCATAAGCCCCGCCCAGGCTTGTTCATCGGGTCCCCTCTGGGCCAGCTCGGGATCTCTCTCTTACACCTCCGAGCCCTTTCTCAGTTATGGGCGGTTTATTGTGCTTGCGGACCGCTCGCCCTTCTGAGCGCCGTTACTGATTTGAATGAGTATCACTTTTCCCGAAGTACTGGCCTCTCTCTTTGCCCTAGATCAGAGCTAAACCTCGAGGCACTCAGCATCTTTGGGGTTCGACATCCGTGACACCACAGGAAGAATTTTCCTGAGCTTCAATTTCCACATAAACTTGAACGTCGAAGTGGCTTCCCTTTCCCTACTCTCTTTAAATAGTTGCTGTTAATATTTGACTTCGAGTGGGTTCCGACCTATAGCGACCCTGTATAAAGTTTCCGAGGAGCAGCAAGTGAGCTTGAACCGCTGACCTTGTGGTTCAAGCGCATTAACCCACGGCGACACACCAGGACTCCTTCTAAATAGGAAGGAACATGAAATTGTCACACATCCTTTTCCCCTGTTTTTGCATTCTCGAATTTCCTCCAGCTCTTCCGGGACAGAGAGAGATTGGGGGGCGTGGGGGGCAGAGAATGAAAGAGAGAGAAGGTAGGGCAGTAAAGGAGTGTTTGAATGGCGAGTCTGGAAACGTTTCCTTTTCAGGGCAGGTCATCTGAGAAATTGGCGTCACTAGTTAGATGAGATGAAATGGGAGGGATGCAGAGGTGGAATTATGAAAAGTCTGGCTAGAGAGAGACCGGAAGTTGGAAAGATCATTATCACTGTTTTCTCTTGGGTCAGATGACTCAGTCAGCTCTCTGCTTGGAATAAGTGCTTTCTACATGTGTTGAAACTGATGTCCAAGTTAAAAAGGCGAAAAGGCAAAACATATTTTGATTTCTTCTAGCACATAAAGAAAAAAAAAGCAGAGGCTGCAAATACTTCCTACAACATAAAAGCTACGCAGAGGAATATTGTTATTGTTAAGTGCTCATAGCTACCCTGTGTAGGGTTTCTGAGAAGGGACTGGTGGGTCTGAACCGCTGACCTTGTGGCTAACAATCCAGTGCTTCTCCTACGTTCCTACGCCAAGACTCCACACAGGAATCCATGTATGTATTTTTCATAACTTTCAGGCTCAGTACACTTGTTTTCTTCCAGGAAGTCCTATTTTATGTGTCTGCATAGTTCCATAATTGAATTTGCTTGACCTGTGTAAAGCGAAGCTCAGTGAACCACACTCCTGGTTGCCATCTGCTTCTATAGTGAATGGCAGGTTGTAGACTATTGGAGCTTATCTATGAGAATCTTTGCCTAATGTACTTCAATTAATGTGAATCTAAAGAATAGAGGGAAGAATGACTTTGCTTCCTGCTCATGAGGAGAGAAGTTTGTGCCTAGGGACCCCGCATAATCTTTAATCAGCATAGTTTACTCCTGTGAGACTCAGACCTGCTTGTTGTTAAGTGTTGTGGAGTTAGTTTTGACTCATAGCAACCCTGTATAGGATTTCTGAGAAGTGGCTGGTAGGTTTGAATGGCTAACTTTTCAGTTAGCAGTCCAGACTTCTATAAAGCCCTCTTTTACAAAGAGTGGGCTTATTTTCCCTTAATTTCAAGTTGCTAGAACTTGCACTTCAGAGCAGGGAAGGATATGCCTAGCAAGAAATGGTTCGTTTGCTAGTAAAGTCCAACAAACAGTTTGCATGCCTACTGTGTGTTGTGCCTACACTGATCATTGGTGTTGCAAAGATACATTTTAACACAGTCTTTGTCTCTGGAAGCGTCCGCTCTAGTAGGGAGGACAGATTCATGACTAGGTCATTATCTCATAGCTGGTGGCATACTTGAGGTATTACCAGAGCACAGAAAGGAGCTACCTACCTACCTATCCTGTCCAGGCCACTAGGAGTCCTGGTGTGACGCTGTGGGTTAATGCACTGGACTACAAAGTTGGTTTGAACCACAAGATTGGTGGTTCAAGTTCATCAGTTGCTCCTCAGAAATGCTGTACAGGGTTGCTATGGGTTGGAATCGACTTGTTGGCATTTAACAACAATAACAACAACACTCTCTTTCTTAGAGGAGATGCCTGACTTGGTCTTAAAAGAGTTGGTAGTACCTGGGTGAACGTGGAGTAGACCCATAGCCACCACCAGAGTGTGGGAAATCCTTGGCATTTCTGCTGAATGGAGCAGGGCTGGCAAGGGTGTTTCTAGGGCACTCAGGTTATCAGACCTCCAGGACCTACACGGGCCCAGCAAGTCATATCAGTGGGTGAAGTGAGCTAGATTTCAGACAGGAGGGGGTGGTGATGAGGAGTGTGGGAGATTTTGGAGTGCGTGTCCTTTTTGAAGAGGGCTGCTGTGGTTTGGTTCCAGCTGGTGGATACCATGTGACAGTGGAGGCACAGAATTGCCAGGCCTCCAGTTGTTTGTGTGTTTGTTTGTTTTCTTAAATGTTTTATTGTGAATTATGTGATAGTTTACATGGGAGAACATTAGTTTTACATTCATTCTATCAATGTCTCATTGCCGTGGTTACAGTCTCCTCCATATAGTCCTTCACCGTGCCCCCCAGGTCTTCAGCACACAGTCGCTCTCCCTTTCTGGATCTAACGTCTCCAGCTGCTGCATCGCTCCCCGTCATTGTGTGTTTGTTTTAAGTGGAGTGAGAATCCATATTTTTATGATGTGAAATAGAAGTTTTAAATGTAGTCCACTATTTAGAACTTAAAAAAAACCTCCTTATGGACCAAATCATTTTTTATTAATGTTTTATTGTGAATGATGTGATAGTTTACATGGGAGAACATTAGCTTTACATTCATCCTGTTGTATATCGTTTCATTGCCATGGTTACAATCCCCTCCATGTATCATCAGCCAACCAAAGGGTATACCCTGAAAGCCTGTTTCCCCCCTCCCGGTCATCAGCACACAGCCCCTCTTCCTCTTTGGGTCTAGAGTCCCCAGCCGCTCCATCTCCATGTCATCATCTCTGCCTCCAACTTTGGCGTCACTGCTTCTCTGGGTAGGGTCCCGCTCTCCACTCTTCTCCCTTGATGGTCCCAGGGACTTCTGCTCCCAGGCTGAAAAGTTAATCACTCAAAAACATCTACCTTTACATTTCCAACCCTCACAAGCAGTCCAGATAATAATTATTCACTAGAAGAATTGATGCCTTTGAGTTGTGTTGGAGAATATTAAAAGTGCCATGGACTGCTAAAAGAACCAATAGATCTGTTTTGGAAGAAGTGCAGCCAGAGTGCTCCTTGGAGGCCAGGATGGCTAACCTTTGCCTCTCATACTTTGAACGTATTGTCAGAAGAGAACAGTTGCTGGAGAAGGATGTAATGCTGGGTAAGATGGAGGGTCTGAGAAAAAGAGAAAGACCCCCCAACGAGATGGATCAGCCAGGTGGCATCATTGATGGCGTCAAGTGTGGCAGCGGTGGTGGGGTCGGCCCAGGATCAGACATTGTTTTGTTCTGCTGTGCATGGGGTCGCTATGAGTCGGTTCCAACTTGATGGCACCTGACAACAACAACAGCAACATTGTATCACAAGAGCCCTATCCACATTTCCTTTCATCAACCCTGCCTAGATAGATTGGAGATTCTTCCATCCTCCATGCCCTCTGGATCTAGGCTCCCTCTTGAAAGCTTGCAAGCCAGTCACTTCTTGCCTTTGTAGCCCCCCCATTTTGGGTAGCCAATGTCCAAGTTGCCCATCCCTGTCTACCTTGTGTATGGAGGGGGTGGGAATGATCCTTGCTGTAAAGATTTGTCCCCTCGTTTGAGCTACTGCATCCATAGATGTAGGTCAAGTTCATCAAATTCTTCTAGTTGAGCTTTGATCATCCAGTCATTGAAGCCAGGTCAAGTGGGTATTATCTGCAAGTGTGGGTGTTCTTGTGCATATGACCTCTCTTGTCAGCTGGATGCTTCACCCTCCACTCTAGTTCTCTGTGGCTATGTCACTGACTCTGGGCCCAAGAGTCCCCAGGTCTTGCCACACTGCTGGCCAACAAGGTCTCCACCCAAGTTCACAGGAAGTCTATTGAACGTTGTAGGGCTTAGTTCGCAGCTTCATTGCTGTTCAAATAAATCATTTTTTTTATTCATTTATTTTTTATTGTAGTAAATATATAGGTAACAAAACATTTTCCAATACAACAGAATGTGTTTTTTTTTAAAGAGCCATAAAATTCACTGTTCCATGCATGGGCTTGTATAATTTCATGATTGATTTAACTGGCTTCCCTACATTTCCCAACATGTAGGTTGTTTCCTGTTTGCTTAGTTGTCTTTTCTTTTTTCCTACTATTCTAAATTATAAGATGTTTTTAAAAATACATATGAAGTCTTCAAGTGACTTCCAAAGTTGATTGCTGGGACTAAACCTCAAGGAAGTTCCCTGTGCCCCACCATAAATCACAGGCACAAGGCAGCCACTTCCACTTCTTCTGAGAGCTGCCATTAAAGGGGAAAGGTCATCCTTCCTCCCTACTCTCCTGCTTGACACCTCCAGGCACCTGCGAGCTGGGAATTCAAATTTGAATCATGGCCCTTGCAAATTATGGCCTTGGGCAAATTCTGTAAACCTTAGCACCTTCAATAGACAAAGAATATACAATCCTCCAGATCTCAGAGGGCTGTTCAAAGGACCAAATGAAACATATACAAACTTGCTCCACCACGTGCCTGACACCTAAAAGGCCCTCCTTATTAACTGAGCCCAATCTTCAAGATGAACTTCCGGCACCCTACTATGCTGGTGATCAGCACTGAACTGTGAACCACAAAGTCAGCTTTTCAAACCTATCAGCTGTTTCTGAAAGGAAACCCTATACAGGCTCTCTAGGAGTCAGAACGGACTCCATGGCACTTAACAACATCTGTGCTGGGTAAGAAGAGCAATATGGGAA